TTTTTAAAGAACATTTTTTCAAGCAAACACTCAGATGCATTCGAACTTCGAACGCACATCAAATAGTTGACAGACAGCAAACAACACCACCGCTCACTGTTAGGTTATGCAAATGCCGCATTTCATTTCTTGGTTAGCTCTCAACATCAGAAGGAGCAAGGCGTTGATTTTTTAAAAATATTTTTTCAAGGGTCAAAAATGGATTACAAAAAAAAAGAAAAAAAAACATCTTCACAAAAAATTTTTTAAAGAATATTTTTTCAAGGGTCAACATCATAGGCGTGGATTTTTTAAAGAATATTTTTCAAGGGTCAACATCTCTGAGTTAAATGCCACATTTTTTAAAGAATATTTTTTCAAGGGTCAACATCATAGGCGTGGATTTTTTAAAGGGTCGTGGGGTTGACAGTTTAGTTGAGAGTATTGATCAAATCAAAAATGGATTTTTTAAAATCTTTTTTAAATGGGTCAACATCATAGGCGTGGATTTTTTAAAGAATATTTTTTCAAGGGTCAACATCATGGGAGGCGTGGATTTTTTAAAGAATATTTTTTCAAACTGTCAAAACGTAGGCGTGGATTTTTCTAAAATAAAGAATATTTTTTCAAGTGATTGACACCTTCCGGATGTCAATCACTTAGGCGTGGATTTTTTAAAGAATATTTTTTCAACGTGTTGTGTTATAGGAAAATCGTATGATGACGTTTTTTTGGAAAGAAATTTTTAAGAATATTTTCTCAAGGCTCATAGGCATAGATTTTTTAAAGAATATTTTTTCAAGGCTCTACATAGGCGTGGATTTTTTAAAGAATATTTTTTCAAGGGTCAACATCAGATTTTTTCAAGGCGTGGCCGCGAACATTTAAGGCGTGGACTTTTTAAAGAATATTTTCTCAAGGTTTTTTAAAGAATATTTTCTCAAGGGTCCTAAACAGGCGTGGACTTTTTAAAGAATATTTTTTCAAGGGCCAACACAAGGCGTGGAGTTTTTGAAGAATATTTTTTCAAGGGCGTTCATAGGCCCCGAACATTTCAGGCGTGGACTTTTTAAAGAATATTTTTCAAGGACTATTAACATTTAAGGCGTGGACTTTTTGAAGAATATTTTTTCAAGGCTCTACATAGGCCCCGAACATTTAAGGCGTGGACTTTTTAAAGAATATTTTTTCAAGGCTCTACATAGGCCCCGAACATTTAAGGCGTGGACTTTTTAAAGAATATTTTTTCAAGGCTCTACATAGGCCCCGAACATTTTGAGGCGTGGACTTTTTAAAGAAATTTTTTCAAGGCTTGCATAGGCGTGGATTTTTTAAAGCATTTAAGGCGTGGATTTTTTAAAGAATATTTTTTCAACTACATAGGCCCCGAACATTTAAGGCGTGGACTCTTTAAAGAATATTTTTTCAAGGCTCTACTCTTTGCAAATTTGGGTCAACATCATAGGCGTGGATTTTTTATCAAGGGTCAACATCATAGGCGTGGATTTTTTAAAGAATATTTTTTCAAGGGTCAACATCATAGGCGTGGATTTTTTAAAGAATATTTTTTCAAGGGTCAACATCATAGGCGTGGATTTTTTAAAGAATATTTTTTCAAGGGTCAACATCATAGGCGTGGATTTTTTAAAGAATATTTTTTCAAGGGTCAACATCATAGGCGTGGATTTTTTAAAGAATATTTTTTCAAGGGTCAACATAGGCGTGGTTTTCAAAGGTCAACATAGGCGTGGATTTTTTAAAGAATATTTTTTCAAGGGTCAACATAGGCGTGGATTTTTTAAAGAATATTTTTTCAAGGGTCAACATATTTTTTTTAAAGAATATTTTTTCAAGGGTCAACATCATAGGCGTGGATTTTTTAAAGAATATTTTTTCAAGGGTCAACATCATAGGCGTGGATTTTTTAAAGAATATTTTTTCAAGGGTCAACATCATAGGCGTGGATTTTTTAAAGAATATTTTTTCAAGGGTCAACATCATAGGCGAGGATTTTTTAAAGAATATTTTTTCAAGGGTCAACATCATAGGCGTGGATTTTTTAAAGAATATTTTTTCAAGGGTCAACATAATAGGGGTGGATTTTTTGACGAATATTTTTTTAAGAGTCAACATAATAGGCGTGGATTTTTTAAAGAATATTTTTTTAAGGGTCAACATAATAGGCGTGGAATTTTTGACTAATATTTTTTTAAGGGTCAACATTATGGGCGTGGATTTTTTAAAGAATATTTTTTTGAGGGTCAACAAAGGGTCGACATTTTGAAAATTCGTTAATCCAGTAACAATCGCGCCGTCGATCTTCTACTTCTGATACCTTCATTATAAAATGTTGACGCTTTGTGGGGACGGGATAATTTTCAATCATTTATCCTCCACTGTGTTAGCCGTTGTCAACCGTGATCATCACTTTAACCACAAGAAAACAAAAAAAAACTTTTTTAATTCGAAGTTCATGTTAATGCAGGCAAATGGTAATATTAGAGCAGTATTTGTATTCAGAAAAAAAATTAAATTTTTTCTGCGAGGGAGTGTTGATGTCTTGTCAACACAGCTGACAACGTGTGTCAGGCTAATTTGCCATGTTACACCAACATCATTCGGATGCATTCGAACCATTCGGATGCATTCGAACTTCGAACACACATCAAATAGTTGACAGACAGCAAGCAACACCGCCGCTCACTGTTAGGTAATGCAAATGGATGCGCCGCATGTCATCCTCTTCGTTAGCTCTCATGTAACAAGGAGCAATGGTGTTGTTACAAAAAATTACAACAGCAACAAAAATGGATTACAAAAAAAGAAGAAAAAACCTAAACAAGGCAAATTTTCTACATCGGCAACTGTCAACACTTAAGCGATGCCACCCACCTAACCACTCTACTCTCCGAATCTGTTACATTCTCTCTGAGTTAAATGCCAAACTAATTAAGATCTCAATGTCAGTGTTGATCGCTGTTCGACTTCCAAACAATCTAAAGTGGGGTTGACAGTTTAGTTGAGAGTATTGATCAAATTTCAAAAATGTAAAAATCTCTAGAATCTTAAATGGTTTCACTTACATCACCTACTTAGGATTGGCTCTTGAGAGCCCTAGAGGTAATTGCTGTAATGGGAGGCGAGGTAAGCTGTTATCCAAACTGCAAAACGTTGAGTGAGTGTAAACCTCTCTAAAATAAACACAGACACCAAAAAAGAAATCTCAAGTGATTGACACCTTCCGGATGTAATCACTTAGGTGGTACTTTGGTACACGATACAACGTGTTGTGTTATTGTGGAGAAAATCTGTATGATGATGTTTGAGGGGAATTTGGAAGACTAAGAATATTTTCTCAAGGCTCTACATAGGCATAGATTTTTTAAAGAATATTTTTCAAGGCTCTACATAGGCGTAGATTTTTTAAATAATATTTTTTCAAGGCTCTACATAGGCGTAGATTTTTTAAAGAATATTTTTCTCAACGGTCAACATAGGCGTGGATTTTTTAAAGAATATTTTTTCAAGGCTCTACATAGGCCGCGAACATTTAAGGCGTGGACTTTTTGAAGAATATTTTTTCAAGGCTCTACATAGGCCCCGAACATTTAAGGCGTGGACTTTTTAAAGAATATTTTTTCAAGTCTATACATAGGCCCGAACATTTAAGGCGTGGACTTTTTAAAGAATGTTTTTTCAAGGCTCTACATAGGCCCCGAACATTTAAGGCGTGGACTTTTTAAAGAATATTTTTCAAGGCTCTACATAGGCCCCGAACATTTAAGGCGTGGACTTTTTAAAGAATATTTTTTCAAGTCTATACATAGGCCCGAACATTTAAGGCGTGGACTTTTTAAAGAATGTTTTTTCAAGGCTCTACATAGGCCCCGAACATTTAAGGCGTGGACTTTTTAAAGAATATTTTTCAAGGCTCTACATAGGCCGCGAACATTTAAGGCGTGGACTTTTTAAAGAATATTTTTTCAAGGCTCTACATAGGCCCCGAAACATTTAAGGCGTGGACTTTTTAAAGAATATTTTTTCAAGGCTCTTCATAGGCCCCGAACATTTAAGGCGTGGACTTTTTGAAGAATATTTTTCAAGGCTCTACATAGGCCCCGAACATTTCAGGCGTGGACTTTTTAAAGAATATTTTTTCAAGGCTCTTCATAGGCCCCGAACATTTAAGGCGTGGACTTTTTGAAGAATATTTTTTCAAGGCTCTACATAGGCCCCGAACATTTAAGGCGTGGACTTTTTAAAGAATATTTTTTCAAGGCTCTACATAGGCCCCGAACATTTAAGGCGTGGCCTTTTTAAAGAATATTTTTTCAAGGCTCTACATAGGCCCCGAACATTTTGAGGCGTGGACTTTTTAAAGAATATTTTTTCAAGGCTCTGCATAGGCCCCGAGCATTTAAGGCGTGGATTTTTTAAAGAATATTTTTTCAAGGCGTGGATTTTTTAAGAACAGTTTTCCAAAAGAACCCGACCCTATTTAAGGCGGAGATTTTTTAAAAATGGTTTTACAAAATAATCCGACCCTATGTAAGACGGGGATTTTTAAAGAATATTCCTAAGGAACCGACAATTTAAGGCGTGAATGTTTTGAAGAATATTTTTTCAAGAACCCAACCATTAATGGTGTGAATTTGTTAAAGTATATTTTTCCTAAGATTTTTTTACCCTCCACCATAGTATGGAGGGTATATTAATTTTGTCATTCCGTTTGTAACTCATCGAAATATTCACTTCCAACCCTATAAAGACGATCTAGCCATATCCGTTCCGCGTTTTGGGTTTGGTTCTAAGACTCTGTTGTAATCATTTTACCTGCGGAGGATATCGAGATAAAAAACTAGAACGTAAGGTTCGATAATGAACTATATAAGAACTATAACCCAGCCAGCCATTTAATGTCTTGAAAACCGCATGTGATTTTTAAGCTCTTCGATCCCGAATAAAAATAATGTCTTCTTCTATTATTATAAACTATTATTTTATTTATCCTCCTTTACGACTCAATCAAATGGCAGTTGTCTAAATGTTCCATATAGACCAAATTCCGCTTCATATGGTACAATATCACCGGTTCTTAGCTCTTCTGATACCCCATATAGTGTGTCCTCGTCAAAATAGCTGCGATAATTATGTAACATATCTTCCATATAGGCAATGCATTCGGCAATATGGCCATTGCTACCGCCATACTCTTCGGGTAGATTACGTTTCGGTATGTGATCGTATAAATCCTCCATGGTCTTGATGACATGGATCTAAAAGTAGGAAAGAAGAATTCAAATAAAATAAAAAATTAAAATTAAAATTCCTGTCATCCTCCCTTTACCGGTTGCAATTTTTGGTTTTTCAGCAATATCAACATCATATTTATATGTCGTTGTATCTCCTTCGAGGCATTTATGACATAGACCTCTTTGATGCGCAACGGACAACATTCCTCCAGCCAGGTATAGTATCGCTGAAATATCGTGCGATCGAATCGCTGCAGATGATCATAGTTAATATTTTGTAAATCTAAAATTTGTGACACGCCCGCCACAGTGGCATAGTCATTTTCCAGTGAAATAATTTCCATGGCCATCATAATGAACTGGAAGATCTCCTTGACGTGATAGAAGCTGGGGTCGAACTGGCCAAAGCGGGCAATAAGTATGGCAGATTTGTCCGAACACTTGGGAAATTCGGGATAATAGTGGACGCTGGAAAGGGGAAACAATTATTTCACTTCGATATGATTGGAATCGAATTCTTACCCCAATCGATTAATATCAAATATTCGACGTGTTATACAACGATTCCGATAGACCTCGGGAAAAACATTGTAGAAAGTGAAAAATTTATCGATGCGCCGTTTTGTCTCCTCCAAACTATAGCGGCAACGTCGTAAAAATGCTATTAAAAATTCATCAGATGTTCGGGCCCGCAAATGTCGTTGCTTTCGTATCCATTCCCGCAGAATCTGTAAATCCTGATGTATACGTTCCGGTGTTTCATTTAAATCCCGACGGGCTATTTCAGCCAATGTTGGTGATAGGGGTCTCATATTTAGGCGATTCGCAAAAGTTTGTTAGCACTGGTCTCCGGCTAATTGGTAACTGATTGCCGTGATTGGAAATCAATTGGTTTTTACGATCCACGAATCGATTTTTTTTATTAGTTCGTAATGCGTTCATGTAAATTCCAGATAGTCATGGATAATTGATGTGACTATTCGATGAGATAAGCTACCGGATGGGGTCTGGATTTTTTGTTTTTTCTTGTCTATACATTATCTACGGATATAATCAATCAGTGGCGATTATTGCCGAAAAATATACGCATGGACACTAGGCAACACTATTTTTCCAAAGAACCGAATGTTTAAGTTGTGGAGAATATTTTTTTATGGACCCGACCATATTTTAGGCGTGGATTGTTTAAAGAACATTTTTTCAAGGACCCAACCAATAAAGGCGTGGATTTTTTAAAGAATATTTTTCAAGGACACAATAAAGAATATTTTGAAGGTCCTTTAAAGGCGTAGATTTTTTAAAGAATATTTTTCAAGGACACAACCAAGAATATTTTGAAGGACCTTTTAAGGCGTGGATTTTTTAAAGAATATTTTTCAAGGACACAACCAAGAATATTTTGAAGGACCTTTTAAGGCGTGGATTTTTTAAAGAATATTTTTCAAGGACACAACCAAGAATATTTTGAAGGACCTTTTAAGGCGTGGATTTTTTAAAGAATATTTTTCAAGGACACAACCATGAAGGACCTTTTAAGGCATGGATTTTATAAAAAATATTTTTGAAGGATATTCTAAGGCGTGGATTTCTTAAAGAATATTTTTGAAGGACCTTTTAAGGAGTGGATTTTTTAATAAATGTTTTTTCAAGGACGTGGATTGTTAAAGAATGTTTTTTTCGGGGACGTGGATTTTTAAAGAATGTTTTTTTTCAGGTACGTGGATTTTTAAAGAATATTTTTGAAGGACCTTTTAAGGCGTGGACATTTTAAAGATTATGTTTTCAAGGACCATTTAAGGCGTGGATGTTTTAAAGATTATTTTTTCCAGGACCATTTAAGGCGTGTATTTTTTAAAGAATATTTTTGAAGGACCTTTTAAGGCGTGGATTTTTTAAAGATTATCTTTGAAGACCTTTTACGGCGTAGATTTTTTAAAGAATATTTTTGAAGGGCCTTTTAAGGCGTGGAATTTTTGAAGGGCCTTTTAAGGCGTGGAATTTTTAAAGAATATGTTTTCAAGGCCTACAACAGGCCTTATTTTTTCAAGGACTCATCCAATAAAGGCGTGGATTTTTTAAAGAATTGGTTTTCAAGGCCTACAATAGGCCTTACTTTGTCAAGGACTCATCCAATAAGGGCGTGGATTTTTTAAAGAATTTGTTTTCAAGGCCTACAACAGGCCTTACTTTGTCAAGGACTCATCCAATAAGGGCGTGGATTTTTTAATGAATATTTTTAAGGACCAACCCTAAGGCCTGGATTTTTCATAGAATATTTTTCAAGGACCCAACCAATAAAGGCGTGGATTTTTAACGATTATTTTTCAGGGCCAACAACAGGCGTGGATTTTTTAAAGATTTTTTTTCAAGGCCAACAACAGGCGTAGATTTTTAAAGATTATTTTTTCAAGGCCAACAACAGGCGTGGATTTTTAACGATTATTTTTGCAAGGCCAACAACAGGCGTGGATTTTTTAAAGAATATTTTTTCAAGGCCAACAACAGGCGTGGATTTTTTAAAGAATATTTTTTCAAGGCCAACAACAGGCGTGGATTTTTTAAAGAATATTTTTTCAAGGCCTACTCCAGATGTAGATTTTTAGAGAAGGGTTTTTCCAGGCCTTCTCCAGATATGGATTTTTAATGAATATTTTTTGAAGGATCCCACACGACCATTTATGTTTTCTCGATGATAGGGTGTAATATAGGGCATCACAAATATATGTGTCATTTGTTTTTGTTTACTACACCCCAACAAAATAGGCAAATCATTTAATAATATTTATTGATTAAATTAACGTAACATTTTCTGTTTTTATCACTTTCTGTTTCTAGAAGCACTTACCAAAATATACCCCCGCCTATAGATAACATCTCTATCCCCACTCCTCAATTTTTGCAACAAATTTCACTGGAATAATTATCGTTATCGGAAAAATAACACAGTTCTCGCATTGATAGATGATATGACCTTATCACTTCGTTGGGGTGACAATCTACATATATCAGATTTTCCAGACACCTGACTGCCAGACATCGTCCATTTGTTGCTGTGGTTTTTGTTTGTTTATCTACCCACTTTCGGAATATGTAAATTAATGTTATGGGGTGCAAAAAATATCCACCAGTTGAAATCTATCCACCAACAAGGATATACTCGGGTATAGTCAATCACACGGTTACAACAAATGCCCAATAAATTGCCTCCGCCAAATGTGGATATTGCAAAGACGGTGCAGAATGAAAATCGGGAATTATGTGAAGAGAACTTGGCTGCTCTGCAAATATGGCTAAAGAAGACACCACATTTAAAGGTCCGTCAGAATCCGAATTTGTTGTTGGCATTTCTTCGATGTTGCCGTTTCGATTTGGAAGAAACCAAAAAACGTTTGGATGGTTTTTATTCCCTTAAGGCTGGGTTTCCGGAAGTTTTAATGCAACGTCGTTTGGATGAGCATTTGATGACACTATATAGGAGTGGGTGAGTATGTAAGACTAAAATCCACGCCTTGATGCCCGTTGAAAAAAAAACATTCTTAAAAAAAATCCAACCCTTTGAAATCCAAATACTCCCTTTTTAATTTACCCGATATTCAATAACAAAAAAATTCTTCTTCTTTTCCTCCCCGCACCAGCATTCACACAATACCACTGAACCCAATTTCCCCCGACGGCCCACGACTTGTCATATCACAATTTAGTAAATACGATCCGAAGATATTCAATCCCAAAGATATTTATAAATTATTATTTATGCTGTTGGAGATCATGGCCGTTGAGGAGTCGAATGTGAGTGCCTACGGAATTGTACACATTGTGGATGTGCGCGATGTCAGCATGGAACAAATGATGCAATATCATCCGTCATTGTTGAAAAAATCCTGGATGCTAATGGAACATTGTTTCCCATTGCGTGTCAATGAAATTCACCTGATAAATATGCGCAAAGAGCGTAGGGCCATGTTTAATTTTGTAACATCATTTCTGCCGAAAAAAATGTCGCTGAAGGTATGTGTCCGAGAAATAATAGAATTTAAAAATAATTGTGGTTTTCTATGGTTTTGTTTTAGTTCATTGTCCACGAAAAAGCGGAGGACCTGTATGCGCACATACCACGCGATGCCATGACCGTGGAATATGGTGGCCACAATGGCTATCAATTTGAGTCCCTCAAACACTGGGAATCCGTAATGCTGAAATATCAGAACTATTTTGCCACCGATGACAATTATGGCACGAACGAAAAACTTCGCATTAGCATCGGTAATAGCCTGGAGATTTCATTGCTATCCGGTCTGAATGGTTCATTTCGTAAATTAAATGTTGAATAACAGGGAGTGTGTGTGTATGTTTGTTTGTTTGTGTAAAATAAAACAGCGATTACATATTAAATAATATCCATTGGATATCTTTTGGTAAATAATTTGTATGTAATGACTTTCCAACAATAGGTATTATTTTGAATTACCCTATATTTCGGTAGTTGTCACATGAGTATTTTTATTGACATTTGACTAGAATGAAACGACACACCCTCTTTCAATTGGATTTAAGTTTGGAAGAAATTTTATGATAGGCAATGTTTAGATGTGACAAACAAAGGGACGGACATTTGAAAATCGGGATCAAATGGTCTCAAACGGATTTGGAGTCGAAAACCAATATTTCTATGAAACACTTTTTTGCCGTAGCAAAGTTCATATACAGGGTGAGATAAAAAAACTGCAACAAAGTCAAACGCCATAATTTTAATTTTGTTTTTTATTTATTTATTTTTTTTTTTTTTGAACGAAAGCAAAAAATATCGGAAATAGCACCAAATTTTAGAATAAGTTTAGATTTATTCGAATTGTTCACCTTTGGCACGAATTATGGCCTTCAAACAGCCAATGAAACCGTCACAGGCTGCCCGAATGTTGCTCTGCGGTATTTTGACCCATTCCCGGGAAGCGCTTGCTTGAAATGATCGACTCTTTGTTATATTTTAGTGCCAACCTTGTTTTCCAAAATACTCCAGACACAATAGTCTAACGAATTGGTATCCAGAGATTTTGGTGGCCATTGTTCGCTGGAAATGACGCGAGGAACCTCAATTTGTAATCAAGGCTTTAATACAGCCTCCAGAATATTTTCGCGATAATATTCGGAATTTATTTTGATACCACGGTCGATAAATACGAGCAGAGAGCGACCATCGGCTGTTATGGCGTCCCACACCATCATCATGGCCAGCGCTTGAGTTCTGGTGGCCAACCGAAGGTGCGCATTTTCAGCTGTCCTCCTTTGCAAGTAAACACGATAATTTTGTTTGTTTACAAACTGCTGGACAACGAATGTTTTCTCATCGCAGAAAACTAAATTCGGCAGTTCATCACTTTCGGCCAAGCGAAGCAACTTCATTGTGTCTTTGTGCATTATCGATTTATGCATGTCCGTCTGACCTTGTTAAATTGTAAACAAAGTACAGGTCGCATTTACGATCCGAATTGGATGAAATTTGGCACAGCGTATGAATTAGGTCTAGAATAACATGTGCTAAGTTTCGTGAAAATCGGTCCAGATTTAGATATAGCTCCCATATATATTTTTGTCCGATTTAATGTAAATGGTGTACCAAAGTCCCTATATATCTTTCGATGTGCACGAAATTTGACATAGCGTCTATAATAATGTGTGCTAAGTTTCATGAAAATCGGTTTAGATTTAGATATAGCTCCCATATATATAGTTTCGCCCGATTTTAGGTAAATGGTGCACCAAAGTCCCTGAAAATCATCCGATTTGCACGAATTTTGGCATAGCGTACTGAATTAAGTCTAGAATGATGTGTGCTAAGTTTTGTGAAAATCTATTCAGATTTAGATATAACTGTCATATATAGTTTCGCTCGATTTTAGGTAAATGGTGCACCAAAGTCCCTGTATATCTTTGTTTGGAATGATGTGTGTTAAGTTTCATGAACATCTGTTCAGATTTAGATATAGCTTCCATATGTATTTTCGGCCGATTTAAGATAAATGGTGAACCAAACTCCCAGCATTGGTCCGATTGGTACAAAATTTTGCACAGAGTATTGAATTATATCTAGATTGGTATATTCCAAATTTTGTTTAAATCGGTTCAGATTTACATATAGCCCCCATATATAGTTTCGCCCGATTTTATGTAAATGGAGCCCCATACTGCCAATATTGGTCCGATTGAGTCAAAATTTGGCACAGTACTGTTTTAGGTTTGGATGGATGTATGCAAAGTTTTCTTGGAATCGATTGAGATTTAGATATAGCTCCCAAATATATTTTATATGGTTGACATTAAATTTTCCATAAATTTTAGATTGGTATGTGTATGGGTCGTTTTAATTTAGTTCAAATATCTATATACGCGGTGATCATATCTTGTATGTACCCAAAGTGGTGAAGGGTCGGCCCCGTCCGACTTTTGAACTTTTCTTACTGGTTTTTTAATATAGCTGGGAAGACGTCAGACCTCGCCGCATATGTTCAGTCACGTCCCGACTATACTTCCTGACCTATTGATTGAATTTTTAAAAGCTAGGCGTCCAACTGACTGCATTGCATTTTATGCTCACCCAATTCGTTTTATATAATCCCCTTTTTAAAAAAATTCAACACCATAACATTTTCCATTTATCTTACATTGTGTTTATCCTTTTATTTTATTATTAACTTACAATATTTTCTACATACATATATATAACATTATTAAAATTATAATTAATAATCTAGATGGTATTTAATCCTTGGTTTGTTCGTTTTGCTGCTTCTTCTCCTTTTTTTAATTTAATCTCTGGACTTAGATACTACACACATTGTCGGTGTTGTTGTTGTTTTTTACTATTTGGCCACACAAGAGTTGAGAGAGCGATAGTAGCATCTTTTGGCCTATCATCCTGCTGTTCGCGAATCTTCGCTTCGAACGCCCCTCCCCTCATCATGTGGTACATTTTTGTTTAAATGTTGCATTCAATGATGAATGGGGTGTTGGGACTGTCGTTGTTGTTGTTGACATGGTTGATGCTGTTGTTGGTGATCCATGATGTCCTCCTAGCCGTGTGTTTTCGCCACCACCTCCTCCTCCTCCGCTAACTGTAATACTATTGAAAATATTGTTACTGGAAATTGCGTGCCTATTTGGCATGTTGTTATTGGTGTTGTTGTTGCCATTGACACGTAAGTTATTGCTGTTGTTGTTGTTATTTGTCTGATATGTTGTTGCTCCATGTAAATTTGTTGGTGAAGTTGTTGCAGTCGCTGTCGTTGCTGTCTTACTGCCACTCATTGTCGTCGTACATTTGTTGATGTTCTGCACAATCAAATTGAGACAATCTAAACTTGAACCATTCGGTGACGATGATGAATCGTATGAATCTGTAAAAAAGAGAATAAAGAGGGAAATTATAAACAGGAAGGGGAGGTGATAAGAATAAAAATATTCAGTAATGTAGTCAATTTATGTCTGGGACACAAACATGTAGTATGGTATTTCGATATATTGATCTGAACTCGATGTATAAAAATAAAGTAAGGCTAGTTCTAGTGTTTCTGATTACAACGAAATATCTGTTTCCTAAGGAAATTCATATTTCCTGAGAATTGGACCTCCCTTCTCCTGATGCTTTTTATACTCTCCACCAAAAAATGAAGTTTAGATTAAATTTGAAATCGGACAAAACTAAATGTGTATATACACCAATTTCGTTCAATGCAAAATTGCACATTAATCGGACCTTCTTATAGTCAATATAAATTGGAAAAAAACCATTTATGAGATACTGTAGTTTCTTGAAAAATATTTATTTACAAAAATCTAAGGCTTGACAAATATTAATTAAAAACAGTAGAAAAAAATAATAATTCGCTTTAAAAATGATTATTTTTTATAAAAAAAACATCGGAAAAATCTAATTGAAAATATGTGGCGCTCAACGTGTGCCCACTTACATTAATTCTTTTTTTGTTGTTTTCAATTATTTGCAATTTCAAATTGAGTTTTATATTTTTTTTTTTAATTTCCTATAAAAACAAATTGGAAAATCTACATTTATGGCGCCCAATAAGTTACATTTTGATAATAATATTTGTATGCCTTCCACCATAAGGTAGATTTCGTTTGCAACACCTCGAAATATTCACCTGAGGCCCTCTAAATTATATATTCTTGATCAGAACAAAATGTCAAAATGTGAGCGAAAAAAAAAACAAAAAGAACAATGAAAGAGAGAGTTTCAAAGGAACTATGTAGGAGTCGGAACTATATGGAGCAAAGGAACTATTTGGAGCAAAGGAACTGTATGGAGTAAAGGAACTATATATGGAAAAAACAAAAAACGAAAAAAGAACGATGAAAGAGAGAGAGAGAGAGAGAGATTCAAAGGAACTATGTAGGAGTCGGAACTATATGGAGCAAAGGAACTATAAAGAGCAAAAGAACTGTATGGAGTAAAGGAACTATATTGAGCAAAGGAACTACATTAAGGAACTAGTTCCTTTTTGAAAAAGAAACGAGGAAGATCGATCCGCTAAGTGAACTAGATTGCCCAACTCTAGAGATAAGATATTTCTGTATTTTGGGCATTTTTGACACATATGACATGAATAGAATTGGCTGTAATTTGGTACTTTATGTTCTTATTAGGTAGAAAAATTCCCTACAAAAAATGATCGCTTTCGGTTCACTTCTTAAGATATCCCCCATATAACAGTACTCAATATTATTCTTTATTTTGGGGAGTTTGGTCACTCGTTTTTATCGAATTAGCTGTAATTTTATATTTTAGGTTTTCCTAATGTAATACATTTTCCCAACAACAAATATTGGTTCAGTTTTTGGTATAGCTCCCATAACACGCTACCCCATCATTCGGTATTTTGGGGAGTTTGGACAAAATTTTTCAACCGAATTTGCTGTAATTTAGTATTTTGAGTTCAAAAAATTATCAATATCATTTTTTTAGGATAGCCCACATATAACGCTTCCTGCCATTATCCGATATTTTGGGGATAAACCTAGCATATTTGTTGGACCATTCCAATTTGTACACGTCATTCGATGCAAAAATGCATGTCAATGGGACGAACTTAGGGGGTCTATATGAAATTAAACAAGATTATGTATGATAGCCACGATAGGATTGTCGCTCCTTAAAAAAATATTTTTTTAATCACGCCTTTAGTGTTTGCTAAAAGGATAAGTTTTGACAAAGAAAAAATAAATAGAAAATCTCAGTTTAAATGTACCCAAAACATCTATTTGAACGTGGGGCCACTGATATGTTAATTAATTCATTTGTGTTAAATTTTGTAATCACCTTTTTAGAAAAAAAATTAAAATCTCCATTTGATCAAATATGGCGCCCAATGTGAAGTGGAATATTTAACATACGTTTATTAATTTCCTTTGAAACCCATTAGTATGAGGTATATTGTATTTTCTATAAAATTGTATGGAATCTGCATTTGTACATATGTGGCGCCCAAACGTTCTACCACTTACATACTTTTTTGTTGTTTTTTTGTTATAAATCAGTTTGATTAAGTATGCCGCCCAACATGGGTCCCTAAAAATATAAATCTATAATTTCAAATTCCTCAGTATTAGATTTTTTCCCATGAAAACAAATTAGAATATCTACGTGTATACATATGTGGCGCCCAACGCGAGGCCTCTTACATTTTCATATTATTTCTTTTATTCGCTTTCCTACATGTTTTTATTTTAGTAGGGAAAATAGTACCTATTATTAAGAAAAACGAAACGATGCCTAAAAAGTGGACCTGAGGCGATATAAAAACACTCATATGAGAGTACTTCTATTGATATAAAAAACATTCCTATGGTAGTCCTTCTATTTATATAAGAAACCATGGCGTCCTTCTATATATATATATGTATATATATATAAACCATGAAATTTACGCCTAGGATAGTACTAGAAAATATTTATTTCAGTAGTCCACAACTGTAGTTCCCTGAAAAATATGTATTTCAATAATCCACGCCTATAGCTCCATAAAAAAAAATTTATGCAAAAAAATTCACGCCTATAGCACCTTTCAAAAAAAAAAAATATTTAAAAAATCTACGTCTGATGTTGGTCCTTGATTTTTTTTTAATTTACTCCTATACCTCATGGTAAAACATTATTTAAAAAATCTAATTCTAAAAAATTGTCTAAAATTATTTATAAATTCATTTTAAATAAAATCTTAAACATTTTTTGCTAGAAAATTTCCCCCCATGGAAATGTGTCAGTGCAATTTATGACAAACATTTAAACAAAATACCGAATCCGATTCATTCAAAACGATGGCAAACATTTAAGAAAATTTACGATAAATTTGAAGAAAAATAAAATGGATCAATAAATCTAAATACCTTGAAATGTGTCGCATGTACTACGCTGGTAGAAATTCAATCTGTCACAGAGATACGCACCTGTATAAGAATTCTGAAATAAAAAAAGAGAGACAGAAAAAAGATTCATAAAATAAGTGAATGAAATAAACAAATTAGTGGTATTAGGTATTGAAATAAATTAAATTAAGTAGATAGGTATTTTGTTGTAATGGGAATTTAAATAAAATTTGATCTGGTTGTTGTGTTTGGTGTTCTGCTTCTTCTTGTGGTGTGCCTATGGACGTTGTGATAAAAATAAAGCAATTAAGAATTACATTTTATTATTATTATTTTGTTTGTGGTTGTTGTTGCTGCTGTTGCTGATCATCCATGCATGTAAGAAAGACGAACGACGAATGACAGCCGAAAGAAACCACCGAAAACAATTCCCTGTGGCAAAATAAGTCCCATTGGCGGCAGTCACATTAAATGCATATCATTTAGAATCTTATTTATGGCAGCAGGAACAGAAATCCATTGCAATTTGTTACTTTCCCCTCTACACATTATCTTCCCCACTGGGTGAGGGGAAAGATAACTTGTGCTCAGCATTTGGAATTAACGAAATTTTGAAAGAAAATATATTTTTAATTGTCTAACTGTTTAGATCTTCGAATAAAAGAATTAAAAACGAAAGAAAAATAAATAAATGAAAATGATTTCATCACCGCATCAACATTGCCATCAGAGAGGAGATATTGTCAAAATTGTGATCTCGTGAAGCATCGAAACCAATGGTACAAAGATTTTAGAGGAATTTCTATGAAGCAGACACACAAATATTAAAAACCAAAACAGGATCGGATATGGGGTTGTACATGGAATTTTCAATACAAATTATAAATATTTATAAAAAAGTCCTTGCAAATTATCCTTGAAAAATATTTCTTTAAAAAATCCACGTCTTGAGAATTATCCTTGAAAAATATTTCTTTAAAAAATCCACGTCTTGAGAATTATCCTTGAAAAATATTTCTTTAAAAAATCCACGTCTTGAGAATTATCCTTGAAAAATATTTCTTTAAAAAATCCACGTCTTGAGAATTATCCTTGAAAAATATTTCTTTAAAAAATCCACGCCTTGAGAATTATCCTTGAAAAATATTTTATTTAAAAAATCCACGCCTTGAGAATTATCCTTGAAAAATATTTTATTTAAAAAATCCACGCCTTGAGAATTATCCTTGAAAAATATTTATTTAAAAATCCACGCCTTGAGAATAATCCTTGAAAAATATTTATTTAAAAAATCCACGCCCTGAGAATTATCCTTGAAAAATATTTATTTAAAAATCCACGCCTTGAGAATTATCCTTGAAAAATATTTATTTAAAAAATCCACTGTGACAACGACTGAAGCCAATGGTCAATGACATTATTGGACCATAACAATGTGGCTTCAGACCTGGCAAATCCCCCATTGACCAGATTTTCACTCTGCGCCAAATCCTGGAAAAACCTCACGAAAAACACATCGACACATTCCACCTATTCGTCGACTATAAAGCAGCATTCGACAGCCCTATCCGTTCAGAGGTGTATAAAGCCATGTCTGCGCTTGGCATTCCTGCAAAATTAATTCGGCTATGCAGGATAACTTTAACAGGCACAAGATCAGCAGTTAAAGTCGGAAAGGACCTCTCGGAGCTCTGTAATACCGAACGGGGATTCAGATAGTTTATCGTGTGACCTTTTTAACATCCTGCTGGAAAAGGTCATACGAGAGGCAAAAGTAAACAGAAATGACACTCTGTACACCAAACAACACATGTTACTCGCCTACGCTGATGACATCGAGATAATGGTCGAACATTGAGAGCGGTAACATCCACCTTTGAACAAATTGAGAAGGAGTGTGCCAAAGTGGGTCTGGAAGTAAACGGCGAGAAGACCAAGCTGATCGTATCAACCGCAAGACGCCCAATGGACTCGGACCAACTGTGGAACTTGAGAACTACAGCTTCGAGGTAGTCAAAGATTTTATATACCATGGTACCGGGATAAAAAAACGAAAGACATCAGTTTTGAAATTCGGAGAAGGATAGTGATGTCCAACCGATGCTACTATGGTCTGAGCAAACAAGTCAAAAGCAAGGCCACCTCCCGCCAGACCAAACTCACACTTTACAAGATGCTTATACTACCCGTGTTGTTATACGGATCAGAAGCATGGGTACTTACGCAAGCAGATGAGGCAGCTCTTGGAGTGTTTGAGAGAAAAATTCTCCGAAAGATCTATGGGCCGATCTGCGTCGACGGTGAATACCGCCGTCGAATGAACCATGAGTTGTACCAGCTTTTCTCGGGCATCGACATTGTTAGACGTATTGGGCTGCAGCGACTACGTTGGCTAGGTCATGTTGTGAGAATGGATGAAGATGCCCCAGCCCAGAAGGCATATAAAAGCGAACAAGCTGATGGTTCACGCAGAAGGGGAAGGCCAAGAATACGTTGGAAAGATCAAGTCGAAGACAACATCGCCGAAAATGGTCTCTTAAATTGGAAAAACTGCGCAAAAGACCGACGCGCCTGGAAAACTTTTCTAAGCTCGGCTTATGGAACGAATGTTCTGTCACAAGCCAGCTACGTAAGTAGGTAAGCCTCTATTTGGTTCTTGAAATATATTCATTAAAAATCCTTGTCCTGCTAGCCCTACATATATTCTAAAAAAAATTTAAATTCTTCTTTTAGTGGCCCACATCTAGATGCCACTCTAAATCGTATCTCCTTATAAATCTGTAATGAGCTAAATACGTATGTGTATGTGTTATGTGTTCGTATGCGTGTATGTTTGTTTGTTTATGATTCATTGCAATAGAGTCCAACTAAATTGTGTATCTAAACGAAACAAAATATTTAGTCTAATGATGAGATTAAGCCAAAATTTATGTTTTTTAATTGTTGGCCAAATTAGATAAACACATTGGCTGGTGGTGATACTTTTGGCTGCAGCACAACTCGTGCATAGAAAAGAAGGCGACCCATCAAAAATGTCTAACCGCAAAAAAAAAACCCAAGACTCTATGACTGTATATCTGTCGTTTTGTCACTCCCTATGCTAAGGAACAGAACAGCATCTAACAATTGCATTTGGCCATTACATTGCTGCATATAATTGATATACATAGACATACATATGATATGTATGTAAACATGTAATTTTTGAGATCATTATATGCTCAACACCGCCACCGTGTCAAGTATTTTCTGCTTGGTATTTAATGTTGCTGTTGTTGTTCTCTTGCCTTTAGGTTTAATTGTGGCCAAATGTGAATCCAATTAAAATTCATTGAACCACAAACCACAAAAAGATGCCAACAATTGTCTAAATTGTTGTAATACAATTGTTCGGTGTTTTTGTACGCCGTCTAATGATCTGGCGAAATATCTTGTAAACGCCTAAGAGTATAGTGATGGTGGCCCTTTCTAATTATGTTTTGGCTTTCGTTGGGGGTTTTATTTTTTTATTTTGGTATAGACTTTTTTTGTTGAATATCAAAGAAACAATGTTAGTGTACTAGATGCTGGGTGAAGTTTGTTGGATCAGATTGTTTTTTTGTTCACATATTCAAAAAATCGAAAAGAAAAAATGCGTATTTTAAAATAAAAGTAGCATAGAATATGTGGTAAAATTTTCAAGTCGATCAGAACAAACTTGGCTGAAAAATGAGCGCTCAAAGTGAAGTTGGTGTCCTCTCCATCTAAAAAACGGTTGGTCCTATGATCATCGCAAGAATCATAGCTTTTATGGAAAGAAGAACATAACGTCGAAAGTATAGTTCATGCTTTATGCAAGCGCTATTCTCCCAAAAGGAATAACAGGAACAAAAATCGCAAGTTGCGAATCAATCTCTCCAATCTCGTGTTATTTTAACAGCATGCTGGATAACAGAGATGAATAATATTATCCGCATAATCTAAGTCTTGGAGTTGTCGTGGGAGACACTCTGGTATGCCACTTCAATATTAATTATTACATTCAGTACAAATACGAATAGTAGGAGAATTGTTGAAGCCATATGCGCCCAAGAGGAGAAACAGGAAACAGTTTTTTCAAGGACCATCATATTTTTTGCGAAGCGGCGATTGTTTATATAATGTTTTTCATGGGTCAACATAGGCGTGGTTCTTTTAAACATTTTTTTCAAGGGCCAACAAAGCCCTACTTATACCCTTCACCCCACTGTGGTACAGGGTATTATGTTTGTAACAGGGAAAAGGAAACGAGATAGACACATGGTTCCTTTTTGAGAATATGCATAGAATCACTTTCTGAGTCGATTTATGCATGTCCGTACGTCCGTCTGTAGATGTTAAATTGTAAACAAAGTACGAGTCGCATTTATGATCCGATTTGGATGAAATTTGGCACAAGTCACATATTTGTCCGGTTCAGATTTAGATATAGCTCCCATATATATTTTCGTCCGATTTAAGGTAAATGGTGCACCAAAGTCCCTATATATAATTCGATTTGCTCGAAATTCGGCACAGAGTACTGAATTAGGTCTAGAATGATTTGTGCAAAGTTTCGTGAAAATCGGTTCAGATATAAAAATATAGCTCCCATATATATCTTCGTCCGATTTAAGGTAAATGGTGTACCAAAGTCCCTATACATCTTTCGATTTGTACGAAATTTGGCAAAGCGTACTGAATTGTGGCTATTATAATGTGTGCTAAGTATCATGAAAATCGGTTGGGATTTAGATATAGCTCCCATATATAGTGTCGCGCGATTTTAGATAAATGGTGCACTAAAGTCCCTGGAAATCTTTTCATATGCACGCATTTTGGCATAGCGTTCTGAATTAAATCTAGAATGATGTGTGCAAAGTTTCGTGAAAATCGGTTCAGATGTAGATATAGCTCCCATATATATTTTCATCTGATTTTAGGTAATTGGTGCACCAAAGTCTCTGAAAATCGATTCGTGAAAATCGGTCCAGATTTATATCTAAATCTGGACCGATTTTCACGAATCGATTTCCCATATATATTTTCGTCTGATTTAATGTAAATTGTGCACTAAAGACCCAAAGATTGGCTGAC